AGCCACGTGCCGAATGTTGCCGACCCCTGGTTTAATCCCTAGCTCTGGGCAAAGAAACCCACCTAGAAACTTTTTTTACATGGTTATTTTTTGGGGGTGGATGGGGGCTTGTATCTCCAGAACCCCATGCTCATACGACTCCAAATTTGGGTCTCTAATCCCACCAAGCACCCTCCTGCTAATCCCACCAAGCACCTCCAAGCACACCAAATTTTAAAAAAAATTGACTAAGCATGTCGGTTTTAGAGGACTTAGAAGCGTTAACCTTTAAACAGATGTCATGATGCAACCTTAACTATAGGGGTGCTCCTGTGCCACTACAATGACAGACCATGCAGTTCTAAACTTGCGATGCTGTCCAATCTCCGTGGTGGGTTAGAATGCACATAACTGATTGGGAGGGAGTGGGCATTGGCTGGAACTACTGCTCTACAGGAAGAAAGAAGACAGGATAGATCCATTTGTGTGGGTACGCAACTGAACAAGTTCAAATGGAGTGTCAGCTGTCTGGTGGCTTCCACCCTGCAGCAGAGCACAGGGAATGCTCTACTGGTTTCCAGCCAATACAGAAAAACACAAACAAAACTGACACTTGTTGTGGAACAAGCAAGGTTTTGAAAGACATGGGGAGTGGGAGCCTTCACATCCTCGCAGTGAAGTCACTCTGCTGATAGACTGAAAAATAGAGCCTTCTCCAAAGGAAGCCAACTGGCTTTCAGCTGAGCCTAAATGAAGTAATTGCAGGGCTGCTTTCCAAATTCAAATCAGATTAGATTTGAAGTGAAACAGGGCTGGAAAAAAATCTAAACATAGCTTTTCTGATTTCATTGTCAGACAAAATGAACCCATCAGGCATCTGCACTATCAAAAAGAAATGTGCTTGGTACGTTAGACATATTTTACTGTCATCTGGTGGTAAGGGGGAGGCAAAGTGAGGTGATCCCAACACTCGCTTTGGTTTGCCATTTGTATCACCAGTACCAGTATCACCAGTACCACTTGTATCACCAGCTGAAACCCAGAGTTACTACCGTTCTGTATTCAGACGACAACGAGGACTGTTGTTCAGAATGATCAGTGGGCTAAAACTTCAACTAGTAAAAATGAAAAATACTCCTCCGACCTCCTCCTTTTTATCTCTTCATGAAAAAGGAGTAGCAATATTTAAATAACACAACACTGCGGGCTGTAACTCTTCATGTAGACACTACCTATGCCAACAGGAGGGCTTTTCTCATTGGCATAGGTATTCCACTGCCCTGAGAGATGGTAGATAGGTCAACAGAAGAATTCTTTCATTGACCTAGTGCTGGTCCACACCAGGGGTTAGGTTGGTATAGCTACAGTACCTCTCTCAGGAGTTTGATATTTCATATCCCCGTGAGACGTAGCTATCCCGAAAGTAAATTCCTAGTGTAGAACAGGCCTAGGATGGTAGAATTAAACAAAAACATACAGACATCTGAAGGAATGGTGGACACACAAGGAAAACTGTACGGTTCTGCAGCAGCTGTAAAATCCTGACCACCATTTTGCATTTCACCCTCTGAAGAGGGTCTCCCTGGCAGCTCTGAGGGTGGAATTTTCCAAAGACCTCAGCCTTGACCTAATTGCAGATCCTATGATCAAGCTCCGAGTGGCTTCAATTGGCGCAGTATCAGGCCAATGCCAAGTGCTTCTGAAAACCCCACCATGAATTCCAACAACATTTAACAGGAGAGGACTCACCCTCAGAATCCTGCACTGAGGTACTAAAGAAGAGCATACAATGCTCTTACTACGTCTCCTCTGGCCCTTCCCCTCAACCAGAGTGCTGCTTCCTGGCAGATCTATTATTGTCTTCTCCCAAACAAAAACATTCCCATCTCCCTAGCCCTCTGTTAACCCCCAGCCAGTACCAGAACCCACCTCACACTCCTCACCCACTGACCCAACCACCCTGCAGAGAGCTACCCTGAGCTCCAAGCAATTTTCTTCTGCCCTCAGGATGTAACTCGCCTTCTTCTTGCAGGGACGAGTCAGGATCCGGAAGCAGAGAGAGGCAGAGTACATGAGGAAGGAGGTGCAGGGCAGGATTTGCTTCTTCCTAGAGAGTCCTGACCAAGCTCCACCTCCCAGATGGCAGAAAACTTCCCTTCATTCTAACAATGCCTTTAGTAGAGCCCCACTCCCAAATCAGAGGAAAGCAGACAGTTCCCAGGTAAGATACCCCTGGGCATTAGTTAATTACCGTATATACTTGTTCATAAGCTGAATATTTTTGGTAAAAATGATGCATCAAAGAGCAGGGGCCGGCTTATAAACGGGTCTACACCAAAAATTGATGATTTTAAACTTTATGGAATCATTGAATTAAATATCTAATATGTTGTCATTTTGTTTACCTGAAGCGTTTGCAGGCACATTGCCCCGCAGATCCCAGTGTCCGCGGTTTGCCATTCCCAGCCAATGGGAGCTGCAGGAAGTGGTGTGCCATTGGCTGGCAACGGCAAACTGCGGACACTCGGAACTGAGGGGCTCCGTGCCTGCAGATGCTCCGGGTAAACAAAACGTCCAGGCCCGCTAGCAGCTTACCCTAACGGGCCAGGAGCCAAAGTTTGCCAACCCCTGAAATATAGGGTCGGCTTATGAAAGGGTCATACACTTTTTGCTATTTTTACCTAACCATCTTGGGGGGTTGGCTTATAAACGAACGGGCTAATGAACGAGTATATAAGGTATATCTAAGTTAAGAAACAGTTTCTTACTGTAACTGTGGTTCTTCAAGATGTGATGGTCTAGTGTCATTTGTAAATCCCTATGTGAGCACTGCCTAGGTGCAAAGTTTCTTACAAGATACCTGGAAGCTCAAGATAACAGCAGGAGGCATCCCAGGTACATTTACACTCACTGTATTGCCCTGTCCCTTTCTCACCGTGTGCTGGTGGCTCGCTATGAATTTCTGGAGCTGCTCTATGTCATGTTCCATGCCAGCATTTGTTCCTTCCTTGGCTTCAGCCGTTAGCGTATAAACATTCAGCCCACGGTGGTATTTCACACAGTAGTCCCCCGAGTGCACTATATGAGACAAAGTGCTCCAAGAGTCTGGTTCACCAGCTTCCTCTCTGAAATAAAACAAACCCAGGTTAACACATAAATGAGACTGAAACGCTGTGATGCAGTGACACACATGCCTTGGTCTGGATACTCATCTAGTCAATGGCCCAAGCAAAAGAGACTACAGGGCGGTTTACTCTGCAGGCTAGAAGGTCAGGCCAAGAAACACATACGCTCCCCAATCTTGGCAGAGGGAAATGAACTGGAGTTGAGAGTTAGAGTCAATGACAAGCTACATCCCAAAAAGTCCTGCCAAGTCTTATCGACCTGGAGTTTCCAAGCTGTCAGAAGGTTATAGCAAATAGTGATGATGGGCAAAGTGACTGCTTTCTAAAGTGAATTTAATGCAGACCAAGGTGGCCAGGTTGACAACCCTAGAGTGGGAACTATCTCCTAATCTATAGAATAAGGACTGTAGGGCAATAGGCAAACAGCATAACAACTTTTAGGACAGAAACATTCCTCCAGGGATCGGACTGAGACAATAAACCTAGCAACTTTCATTCATTACTGAACTGGACTTGATTTGAATGGCTGGCCTAAAGGGGAAGATCTTATATGGCCATTCTTACATAACAGTTAGGACACCAATATCCTGAGATATCAAGTCCCTCTACAATAGGATTATTGATTTAATTATAGAGTTTCCCATTTTGACAGTTAACAGTAACAAAATCTTTAAAAAGGGTCAATCCTATGAAGAAAAAGAAAAAGAAAACCATGCCGTTGTCTCCACTAGCACAGAGCTTTAAAGTTATAACTAATTTACATTCTTATTTACATAAAATGAACACAGTAATGGTCAAAATACTGCCACCTTCACTACAAGCTTCAGAGCATGACTACACTGACAGAAGAACAGAGGCACACCCATATGGAACTTTTCCTATCCCTAATTGTTAGGAAAATTGTTATGTTTCTAACAGTTAACATGAGCTCAGATACCATAGTAAATGGCACAGTTTAAGAACCGGAACTGAAAGAAAAGAGTCAAGTCGAATTTCCATTAAGGTTACTAGCCAAATTCAGGCCTAGCAGAAGTTTGCATTTGAGTGATGCCTGTGATAAAGACTGAATTTGAATCTAAAAGGATAAATCATACTGAGGTGCTATGCTGTAGGAGTGTGATTGGCCCTTTAAGGGGAGTTGGGCCCAGCCACAGGTGTGATAGATCAGCAACCTTCCAGCTGAGGCTGACCAGTTAGGAATCAGAACCCAGATTTTTAAAGGTATTTAGGCATTACTGTGCTCAGCATTCCAATGTCTAACAGATTTAGGAGCCTAAATCCAATTTTCAAATGGCGTTTAAGGAGCCTAAATCCTGTGAGCAGTCAATGAGATTTTGGCTCCAAGGTGCTGAAATCTCTTTTTTAAAATGAGATTTGGGCTATGTCTACACTGCACTTTTGTCATTATAACTCAGGGGTAGGCAACTATGGCACACGAGTCTTTAAGGTTTCGCGTCCCCGTAATACATTTTAACATTTTTAGAAGGTCTCTTTCTATAAGTCTATAATATATAACTAAACTATTGTTGTATGTAAAGTAAATAAGGTTTTTAAAATGTTTAAGAAGCTTCATTTAAAATTAAATTAAAATGCAGAGCCCCCTGGTCCAGTGGCCAGGACCCGGGCAGTGTGAGTGCCACTGAAAATCAGCTCCCATGCCACCTTTGGCACGCGTGCCATAGGTTGCCTACCCGTGACTTAGGGATTCGACATAGTACTGGACTCATGACTGCTGCTCTAGCCCACTCAGACACATTTGGAGAAACAAACATATTACCATGAAGTGTAAAATGAAACTGCTGCAGTTTCTTGCCTTCAGCATCTTGCTATACACAAACAAGACATGGACACTAAGGAAACAGGATGGTAAGAAGCTTTCTGCTTTTGAATTGAAATTCTACAGGCAATTGCTGGGGATTACCTATACCTCACTCAGGACTAACGAGGATTTAATCACGCACATTTACAGCATAACTGGAGCGATACTGTCTATTAAGACAATCAGATAAAGAACACTTGAGTTTGCAGGACATGTGGGTCAAATGAACAGAGGAAGATGGCCAAAGAAAGTTTTGCAGGGACTGATGCAAGGTGCCAAGGGGCGCCTATGGCGAGCGTGGGCTGATGATGATGTTGATTGGATGGAATGCGGTACAGCGCACTTCGCGAGGCTGCGTAAAAACTCTGAAAGATGGAGGAAGATTGCACGCCAATGACTCCCATATACTGTGGTTACTGTTCTTTGTGATGTAGGAGAATGTTTATATATATTGCCATAAATCAGTTAGGTGTGCAATGCTGACAGCAGCAATGCCAATACTTCCAAAAATCTGGGCCCAGGTGATTATAAAAACCCAGCAAGTAGCCCAGTCAGGCAGAGAGATGTCAGGAGCAGGGAGGCTCTGGCAAGAAGCCCCTAAGTCAAAGGGGAAGAACTACAGGAAGCAGGCTGGCTCCACTGGCAGGCCCTGGAGCAGGGTGACACTCTCAGGCAAACAGCCAGTAGAGCAGAAACCTGTAGGGACTAGCTCCCTGCAGGAGACTCAAGGTTCAGGGGAAGGGACAATGGAGGTACTGTACTAGTTTTACGTGTAAGAACCAAAGCAGAAGCCCTGAGGAAACAGGACTGAATCAGAATCTGCACATGATGTCACCCTTTCCTGGGCTGGAGAGACAGGCCAGCAGCCTACAGGCTGCTGTTCTAGAAAGTAAGAACCCTGGTTAAACAGCTAGCCTTGATCCCACAAACACTTATACAAGTGCTTAGTTTTAGTCATGTGATTAGTCTCAGTAACCTCAATGGGACTACCCACATGCTTAAAGTTAAGCATTAGAGTTAAGCATGGGTACACTTGTAGGATCGAGGCCTTAGTCTGCAGTTCACTTTGGGGTTTTTTGCCCTCTGTCAAGTTTCATTTTGAACCAGAAACGAGTTCCGGGAACTGATGAGACATTGGCCTGTCAGCGAGAAGCACTTTCCACTAATGGCCAGATTCTGGCTCATCTTGTCACAGTGGCATATGGTGGCCATGCTGGCTAATCACCCTAGGGGTAATCGTATCACTTTCAGAATAGAGAAAACAGCCACTGTGGGGCTGATACTTTCCCCTTCGGTGCATGTGGGTGGGAGTGGACAGGCAGGAGTGGAGCCTTGACTTCATCACATTGTGTGCCATCTAGGCCAGCTGCACTGATGTGCTGGAGACATATGATGTGCCAGGTATACGGCTCTGCAGGGTACGTCTCTGTCCGAGCAAGTGTGCCAGGGGGACTGGGAGGTGGGCAGCTGAGGCAGTTTTCTTCACTCGGAAAAAAGATGTGTAGTTAAGTTGAGTCAGTAGCACAAGTTTAAATCCTAGAAGAGACAAGGCCATTTGTAGTTCTCACACAAGTTATCAGGTGAAGTTCAAGGCTGTGGTGGAGCTTAGGGTGTGCCTCAACCTGCTAACTCATGAAAAAACTACAAACTGCTTTCACTTCATAAGGATTTTATCTTGTATTAGGCCTGGCCTACACTACACAGTTAGGTTGACATAAGGTAACTTACGTCGACCTCATTATGTCAGTGTCTACACAACAGTCTTGTCCCACTGATGTAAGTGCCCTACTGCAACGACATAACTCCACCTCCACAAGGGGCACAAGGCTTATGCCGGTGTAGTTAGGGCTATGCAGTGTCCATATAGACACTGTGTTATTTACATGGGCTGTTCACTCTCTTATCAATTTCATGGCTCCAGCTGCGCTGTGAAATTGACAAGAAAGCAGACAGCTAGAGCCCAACTGCCGCCCCATACCCCTGGAGAGCTGGAATGGCTGGACCCCACTCCCATCTGGGAGGGTAAGAATGGATCCCACTCTTAGCTGGGAGCCGTGGGCAGCAAAACCCCGCTCCCAATGGGAAATGGGGGGCAGCTGGGCTCCCGTCAGGGAGCTGCCAGCGCAGCTGAGAGACCGGGCTCTCCGCTCCCCACACTGCCCCTCTTAGGTCAGTGGAAGCGCTCCTGGTGAGGACACACATCACTGACTCATGGAGGGTAGTGTGGACATGCACCATCACAGAAATTACTGTGGTGGCTGTAAATTGACTTAAGTTTTTAATGTAGACATACCCTTAGTTAACTGAAGTTAACACCACACCCTTCTTCCCTAGTGAAGACAAGGCCTGAGCCACATTCTGATTCCCAAGTTTCTTCGGGGGCAGTGAAATTACAAACTACTTCATACGTCAGCTGCATGGCAAAGCTATGGTTGAGCCCTAAACGATGAAGGATTTCAAATACTAGAACTAACACACTCCATTGAGAAATATGTCCATTAGGCCTCATAAAATTACAGGTACGTTTACGAACACATGCCACTTTGAGTCCTTAGGATAAAAACAGTAACCCTTTTATCAGGTTAATGAGTACCCAAGGAAATTACTCGAGGAAAGCAAGTCCACTGGATACTGTTATATAAGTTACCATGCAATTTAAAAGAAACACCTACATCTTTGACGTGGAGCAGTATTGAAGAAATGGATCTCTATGAACATTGGCAGTAGATAGTGGGCATGGTCGGGTGGGGCTACCCTGAGACAGTTTTATACACGATATATATATATATTGCAAAGAACAATCCTGTACTGACAGTGGCTGATGGACTAGCTGCCCTAACAGATTTTTTCTAATTTCTATGACTCACTTCAAATTAATCTATGATTCATCCAAATCAAGCCCAGTCTAAATGGACCTGATTCTCCTCCCTGTCTCCACAGTGTACCTCAATTGACTTCAATGGAATTGCTCCTGATTTATTCAGAACCAGAATCAATATTTCAATAAAGAAAGAGAAGGTAATGTACGGTTTTCTATTATAAATGGCTGTTTCAACTTCTGTAAAACCAACCATCAAACCCCTGCAATCCAAGTTATTTTATGCTTTTAATAGCTCAGTTAACTGAATAAATGGCCCTTCTTTATCAAGGAAACACAGACATTTCTGTCTGAGCTATTTTT